TGCAAGTAATTGTTTCCAGATGTAACATGGCCAAAGATCATAAGAGAATCGCTAACCACTTCTTGAGCAGTGCCTCTACATTTGAGAAAATTAACAATGGCCAGCTTAATATGCCATAGCTATCATTTTAAAGTTTGTTGAATAAATGGCCCTCCTCCAGCACATAGGGAGGGGAAAAATAAGATAGTGACAAAGGATTTCCTAAAACTCATTCCCTCCCTGACAGTTTCATAAGACATCTACTTTGGATCTAATAGATTATAATTTGTGATCCTGCAGATAGAAGCTATGCATATTTCATGCTTTAAAAAAAACTACATTTAACACTGAAATAAAATTGAGTGCTTCCTATACATAAAACATTCATTGCTTTTCATACAATATAGTATTTCATTTAATCTTTAAACTTAACAAACAGAAACTACTATTTCATTTCCAGGTGTAAGGAATCAAGACTTAAAGATGTGAAGACACACAGCTTAGTTAAATGTAGAAATTGTATTTGTAAAAGAAGTCTCTCTAGATCCAAAGCCCTGTGATCTTAAACAACACTATATTTCATGTACTATCTTAGGTTGTACAAAGAAATATCACTAGCTAATGTGTGACAGATTTTTAGAATAGAATATAGACTAAAAAAAAAGTTCTATTTTTACAAAAATGTTTCCATTTTAATAAAAGACAAGTAATCACATACTCTACTAATGATAAGCTCACAATATGTTATGGATATGTCCTCCTACTAACTTTAACACTTAACTATAGCTGTTAATATTTCTACAGGCTGTATCTCTGTTCAAAACATTTTTTCTCTTTAAGTTGTAAGAAACAGAACGTAACAGTGAATTTATCTCAAGATCCTGCTACACCAATCTTGAGCATATAACCAAAAGATACTTCATTCTCTATAGAGACACTTGCTCAACTATGCTCATTGCTGATCTACTCATAATAGTCAGAAATGGGAAATAACCTATATGTCCATCAACAGATGAATGGATAAAGATATTGTGGTACATATATACAAAGTAGACTACTACTCAGGCGTTAAAAATGAAATTATGAAATTCTGAGATAAATGGATAGAGATAGAAAAAAATCACCGACTGAGGTAACTCAGACCCTCAAAGACAAATATGGTATATATTCACTTAAATGTGGATATTGTAAGCCCCTCACAGAAGGCCAGGCCCTGCCCCTGAGGACTTTCAACCATCAGCCTCTGCCCACAGAACACTCTAATGGCCATAAAGGCTGGCTCCAACCCCTCCAGATGCAAGTGATTGACCTCCACCCTACAGAGTAAAAAGTCTGCTTGAAATCCCACCAATCCTCACCCTGGAAAGCTCTGCCCCCAAGAAACTCTATATGAAGCCTACTTCCACAAGATAGAAACCACACCCAACACTGCCTGAGTAATCAAGAACTGAAAACTAAATAGTCCAGGGACCTAGGGTAAACACAAATACTACTGTACTACCAAAAGTACATAGCAATAAAATGACTCCTACATTCTGCTATACACATTGGTCAGTGCTTTGCTTAACCATTATCAGAGAAGCTTCCTCCTACAGCAGATGGGAGGAAATACAGAGATCCAGCCAGACAATGTGCAGAGAGTGAAAGACCTTAAAACACTCAGCCCTAAACAGGATATGTTTAGGTATGCTTTGTGTTCCACAAAAAATCCATCCCCTCTTGGCTCAGGGAACCCTACAGAAGAGGAAGCAGAAAGAATGTAAGAGCGAGAGGGGACAAAAAACAAAGACAAGACCTTCTAAAACAGCACAACCGATGTATAAGATGAACATATGAACTTCAGAGACTGTGACAGCATGCACAGAACTTGCACAGGTCTACACCAGATGGTATCCCAGAACTGAGAGAATATGTGGACACATCCCTGCACCCCTAACCAAAAAGCTATCTCCAATTGATAATCTCTTACAAATGAAAAATCAGTTTTCTCCCAGGGAGTCTCCCTGGGGAAAAAAAATTCACTCTTAATGGTATGCTCCATGCCCAGCAGTAGATGGACAACACAATATGAATAACCATACAGGCCCTTTGCGTATATATTATGGCCCCTGGTTTTGTGTTTTTATGGAAATCTTGTGTGTTAACATTATTCCTTAGGTACCTGTTTGTTTTCTAAGAAAAGACAGAAAGGCTGAGGATCTGGATGGGGAAGAACTGAGAGGGTGTAGGAGAGAGGAAACCATAATCAGATTGTATTGTATGAAAAAAATTCTATTTTCAATAAAAGAAACAATACAGAAAATAAAAACAAAAACACATTTCAGCCAAAGGCAGCCATGCTTAAACAATGGTTTAACAAACCAGTTTTTACTCTTAATCCATTGTTTCTCTTGCTTTGATAATGTGCTGTCTTTTGTGAATTTTGCTACTTTTAAATAAAATTGTATTCCCAAATAAAAAGTAAATATACAGTATTATATTAACTAATGTAACATCAATTTAGAAACACAAATTGTAAAATATTCAGGAGACTCAAAGTTAAAGACCTAATAGGCTTAACTGTGGAATAATCCTTCACTATATAATCACATGAAATTGGGCTAATGAAAGATTATATAGTAAGTAACAGCCAGGAAACGTTCACCTGTAACCTGTGTCACATATGTAACAGTCTTTGTGACTATATTCTCTGTGTCATTCTGAAGGGGCATATTATAAATACATAGTTTTTAAAGAAAGGGGTTATCACTAACTCAAAAATGAAAAGTATGAATTTTTATATCAGTAAACCTCAAATACAACAATCTACTAATTTTCTGAAAAAATTTAAATAACTTACATAGGTCTTATTTTTAATACCTGAGTATAACACCACCAGCCTAGACCAGTATTTCATCTAGTCTAATATTCTGTTGTGACATCAATCAACAGTGGATGTGTCACAGGATAACCTAAGCATACAGCATACTGCATATAATTATACACTACTATGACATTATCTCAGATGATGGTTAGATTATACCCCGAAAGAAACAAAAACAATTCCCAATTTTCCTCTCTCCTCTACAGCTTCCCATATGGTGATGGGAAATCTTCAACAAAAGTATAAGTAGAATATAAGTTAATGCTTTGGTAACATGACAACTGACCAAGAAATTATCATCTAAAATGAAAAGCTGCACACAGAAATAGAACCCAATGTGACCAAACCTATTATTTGGAAGGGAGATTTCAATGAACTACAAATCATAATCCACTCCAAAAGAATTACTTATAAAACAGATGTGCAATTTTTAGTTAAAACTAAAGAAAATACACTACAATTTCTACCAAAGGCCATGTCATTTTGTGACATATAATACTTTTTTCTAGACAGCTGACAGTATTATTTTTAACTCTGCAGAGAAATGGCTTCACACCTGTTTTGTAATGGTTTTAAATTAGGGATTAGGTTTATTAAATGCTCATCTTGGTATATAAAACTACAATGCAGAAATCTAGGTCACCCTTTAGGAAATACTATTCCCTAAATAATTACGGAGAAAAATGTATTGCATGCTTCAGACATTTAAAGAAGCTTATTCTCTTGGTGATATAGACAGGCGTTGATTTAACAACTCTTGTACTCAAAAAAACAGTTCCCAACTAAATCCTCCATGGTATAATTTAACTTCATTTTCTCTTTCTCTGACCTCAAGTAAATTGGAGAATATCAGATTATACCATAATACCTCATGTATCTAAAACTCTTTTTAATATTTTCTTTTCAAAAGTAGTACAGGTCAATGAACCAAATAATTGAGTCCTGGGTTTAGTTTTATAATTTCTAGATACTACATATTATAGTTCAAGAAACTGATCTCAAAAAAGTACTTATTTATACTTTTTATCAAGTATTTCTCCCTAACACAGTACACTCTCCCTTACATACACAAAAAAAATCTGTATTTCAGAAATAAACTCTTAAAATTTCAGGAACAGTTTATAAAAGATGGAAAGAGGAATAATGAACTGCTACTCAGGCATTATTCCATCTTTAGGATAGGTCATAAAGTGAGCTGAGCCGTCGCAGAGCCCCTGGAACGGAGGAAGCTACAGTGTAGTGTCATACAATCTCCAGCTGGGTTGCCATTCTTAACAGTCCATGCTGTTTCCTGAAAATCACAGGAAGCCAAAACATACACTATCAGTCTTGAACTTACCTTTACAAAAGCAGCCAAAAGCCACAGAACAATTATGGCAGAGCAAGCCTCAAAACAGTTACTGAACTGTAGGTCTTAATCTCACTGTAATGGCTGTGTACATGGTTGAAAGTTATTCTTTCAATGTGAGTACAATGTGAGTCATATCATATATTACAAAGTTAAAAGATTAGATGTCACTTATGGAAAAAAAATGCTGTTGGCTGGCTATTCATGTTTAAAAAAAATTCTACTTAAACTCCAAAAAATCTATTTTCAGATATCAAATATATTTTAGGAATAAAATGATCAACAATATAGGCAAATGCCAGCTGGACACTTGGGAGACAGAGGCAGGCAGATCACTGAGTTTGAGACCAGCCTGGTCTACAGAGTGAAATTACAGGACAGCCAGGACACAAAGAAAGAAATCCTGTCTTTAAAGAGAAAAAAAAGGAAGGCAAATGGCTGTGCAAGGTCTCAGCTTGGACCATCATAATGAACTACCAAAGACCAGTGAACAGACTTTATTTCTTTTAGTTTCAGGGACTAGTAATTTCAACCTCAAGTTGCCAGCAGATATTGATATGAGCCCTCTTCTAGTTTGATGGCCACCTTCTTTCTAAGGAAAAGAATCCTGTTGTGTTTCTTCTTATAAGGGCCACTAATTCCATTCATGAGGGCTCTGCTATCATGACCCAATAATGACTTTGTAAAAGCTGTATCTCTACTTACCACCATATGGGAAACTTGAGTCTCAATATATCAGTTGGTGAGAAAATACAAACATTCAGCCCACAGAAGCAAAAAACTACACATAAATAAGTAGTAACAACTTACTTTTATTGCCCACTAAAGCAACCAGGGGCTCAGTTTCTGACTCTTCACTTACTGTCTTCACCACAGAATACCAATCTTCCAAATTCTCAAAACTTTGGTAGTTTGTAATATCATACACCAAGAGGATTCCCTGTCACAAAAGAATTATAGAATACTTATAATATACTTTTGAAATAATATCAATAATACTCTTCAGAGTTTCAGATATATCAAGTATATTATAAAATGCACTTGCTTTTATAAATAAATTGATTTAACTTAAATGAGTTTTAAGTAGAAACAATAACAAATAATCCCATTTACAATAAATTCTGAAACAAAGATGCAATGCAAGCTAATGTATGATTTTTTTCAAAATTGTAAGTAATTTCCCAATAAAATATCTAAAGAATTCTTAGTGAATTCAAGATAAGAAAATTCTATCACAATAAAGCACAAGGACTACATATTGTCTCTCACTTCCACAAAGTCAAACATTCAAACTTTTCAATAAGTAACCATCTGCTGCTGCTGCAATTTTAAATGTCTTCAGAAATGAAGATTCCATAATGTCCCTTGATAGGCAATTTCAGTGTTTAACACAATTTTCTTTAAATGAATTGTGGATTTCCTCTTTTAGTTCTCTGTGCATTTAAAGAACAACTGGAAAGTATCCTCCTTATAATAACCCCTCATATACTTGAAGACAGTTAAGTAACTCCTTACCAGTCTGCTTTCCAGAGTAAATAAAAGCTGTTCCTTAAGGCTGCCTCAAAGGGCCTATTTTCTGTCCCTTTAATCATGGCTATTGAGTCTTCCCAGGACACACTACATAGAGTTTTTTGACATCCTCTTTAAAATGAGCAATGTAAAACTGGACATGATACTATAATAAGAGTCCAAGAAAAGCTAAATATAAGAGAGGGGTTGCTTCCTGCCTCTTATATATCATACTCCTTTTATAATTTATCCCATTATATTATGAAGGAAGAATGAGAAGTATATACATACACAAAAATAACAGAACTACATTCTTGATTCTCATCCAGTTTGTGGTCAAACACTTAATACAAATCTCTGCTTACAGGATAAGTCACTCATGGTATTCATGTCTACTTCTTATAATAAAATAACTATTTTGTATCTGCTACGTATCAAACACAGATTGAGATCTTTACACCAATTCTCACACCTCCTACAGAGACTGGCATTATCCCCATTTTACTGATAAATGATTATAATAACCAAGATGACCCAGATAGATAACTGATGGAATCAGGACTATAGCCAAGTACTAAATGACTAAATATGTTTGTCTGCAGATGACATACCATGCATTATGCTGACTGCTGGGGAAGGGAACGCTAAAGTACAAGTATGCTAAAGTTCAAGAAAGTCTTCCAGGAAACCTAGACATATAAACAGGATGGTATACAACACAGTAATTACAGCAAGTAATAAATTGGCAATAAGTGTGGAGTTTCACTGTGGCAGCTATCAATGTGACATTACTGAATATAGACACTACTGGAACACTACATAGCATTTCTACCCAACACATAAACTATAAATGTAAACAACCTTGGGAGCCCAGACAACAGAAATTATAGCAGTTAGTAAATAATTCATTTTGACCACATAACATTTCTAACAACATTTTTGAGCTTTATGAAAAATTTAATCATGAGTGCACTCAACAACTCGCTCACAAAAACTGCCAAAAATTAAGGGTTGAGGTTCTAACACTAGAACAAACTGGCTGCTAATATGATCTTACAGTACTGAGTTTTTGTTAAGCCACACTGGCCCTTAAGTCACCTGCTTCTTGTCTTTATTAAGCCATACTGGCCCTTAAGACACCTGCTTCTTGTCTTTAAAAGTAGATTTCTAGGGAGTAGAGATGGTTCAAGGTTTAAGAGCACTGGCTTTTCTTCAGAGGCCCTGATTTAGTTCCCAGCACCCATATGACAGCTGTCATCAGTCTGCAAGTCTAGTTTCAGAGGATCCAACATTCTATTCTGGCCTATGGGGGAATCGCAAACATGTGATACACAGATAAAACATGCAGGCAAAATAGCCATCATACACATTGAAAAAAAAACCTAAATCTTAAAATAAGATTCCTGGAGTCTCCAAGATTCTTTTCAACTTCATTATTCTGTAACTTTAAAGTCAGATGTGGTGTCTCATGGCTATACTCCCAGAACTAAAGAAGCTAAGGCAGGATTGTTGCCTCTAGCCTCTACTATACAGTGAACTCTAGAATAGTCTAGACTACAGAGCAAGACCCAGTCTCAAAAACCTTTTTGACCATTAACCAAAATAAAGTTATCTAAAACAAAAAGTATAATTTCAACTTATTGAAGAATATAGTTCTGAAGCTAAACTCTAGAGACAGCCATTCCCAATTTACTGACTCTGCCTCCCTCTGTGGGGGGGTGACGGTATTTATTGTTTGCTGAAAGAGTCCTACCCTTGGATTCTAGACCTGGACATACCTTTAATTATTCACTTTTAAAATGTTTAATACAGCTATATGATTAAGAGACTAAGAACGCACACCAAATAGATGTGAAATTAGCACTATGCATAACCGTACATGACTTTTTAGTAACTTAATTATTTTTATGTACACCTATGTATGTATATGTATGTATGTCTGTATGAGGATGTCACATCCCTGGAACAGAAGTTACAGACAGTTGTGAGCTGCCCTGTGGGTGATGGGAATTGAAAACAGATCCTCTGGAAGAATATTCAAATGCTTTTAATTGCTAAGTCATCTCTCTAGCTCCACTGTACATGATTTTTATTATTCAATGTCAATCATATTCTCATGGTATCTTTGAGGTGTTAAATACTCATTAAATAAAGGCTAACATGTGATAACTAATCCTTGAGATGGTAGAATCTTTTGATTAATACATGAAAATCTTTACTCAAGGTAACAGTAGCTGAGTTAGACAAAACACATGCAAGTAGAACACATATGCCACCATGTACTGGTGGCTTGCACAGTGGTCCATGCCTTTAAGCCAAGGATTCAGAAGGTATAGGCATGTGGATCTCCATTAAAGGTTCCAGTCCATGTATATTTCATAAACTTCTATTTAATGTGGATTTGCTTACAAATCATCAGTGGCTGCTTTAGCATTACAAGTGCAGACCTGCTTCACTGCAAAAGAGATAATACCCTGCAAGGCTTCCCTGAAATATTTACATCGACCTCTTTATAGGAAAGTCAGTCAATCCCTACTCTAGACCAATGTGTCCCCATATCTGTGAGTCAAAAGATTCTTTTGAATCTTTTTAGACTCATAAAAAATAAATAAACTTCATTCACTAACCTAGCTATCCTCCAACCCAAATATTTTCAACACAATTAAACATAAAAACAACTACTTTATCTTTGCTCTTACCATCATAATTATTACGGGATTTGACTTTCAGTGTTATACAGAAATATCTGAAAAGCTGATATGAAAGAAATAAAACAACAAAATGCAAAAGAAATTTTAGGAGTTTTGGGTTCTGACAAATAAAGAACTTTGGTCATCATCTGTCCTTACAACATAAAAATCAGATTTTTTCAGGGCTCATCAGAGAGCTGAGATTGGAGCACATCAAGGAAAGCACAGTAAATTTACGACAGTCACAGACAAGCCCTACTTCCCTGGATCAGAAGATGCTGGAGGTGGTAATGTAGGATTATCTACACAGTAATGATGCTGACAACCTATAATCAACTGTGGAATCATTGAAGCACAAGAGACTCTCAGCAGCTCAGTCTCCAGGCCATACCCCACTTTCACAGGATTCACCTCCAGGAACTTGCAGAGCAAAAAAAGGTCCACTAGTGGTTCTGACAAGGAGAAAGTAGCCCTGAAACAGCCATATTCTCAGAAGGTCTCCCTCCAGCCTAGATGACTTTTCCCATAGCTGCAGAGATGGAGTGGCCCTTCAGTTAACCTTCTACACACTTCATACTCCAGTACCTTCCAAGACCAAGAGGCCAAGAGCAATTAGAACAGAATTGCATACACATGGCAGACAGGTGTGGGTGGGAGCTGCTGCAATATCAGTTGAGGAGCCAACAATCCTCCTATCCCATTCTTTTATAAGAGAACTCCAACACATCAACAGTCAAAAGCCTCCTCTTAAGGGGCTAATCCAAGGAATCACCACTACTCTGATAAGGATACTTTGTGTCTGCAGCTGAAGATTTGCTTTCTCCGATTCCTGTCCTTGTAATTATGCCTGTCACCTGCTGTCATACCTCTCCACTGTGATTGACACTTAACCCTCTGGAATCATAATCCAAAATAAACTCTTGTATAAGTTGCTTTGGTCCCGATGGTTTTTATCACAGCAACAGAAAAGTAACTAATATAGTGGTTTGGATTGAATATATCTATTTATAGAAAAGAAGAAAGACCAATAATCTAAGTTCCTATGATAGGATACCAAAATAAGGACAATTTCAGATAAAGCAAACAAAAAGGAGTAGAAATGAAAGTAAAGCACAAATTAATAAAGTTGAAAAGAGGAAAAATAGTACAAAAAAAGATTCCTTTAAAAATCAGTTCCAGGGAAAAGACAGTGAGCAGTATCAGAGTGAATAAAAAGTCGTCACTGCTGACAGCACAGACATCAAATGGGTATATAATCAACTTCATGGCTACGAATTTGGCAATACAGGTGAAATAAACCAAATATCTGACATTCATTACCAAAACTTTTGCTCCCAGGGCCTTCTACCCCCAGCCTCAGCCCCTAGAAGCCTTCTTGGGTAATCAGCGCCTCAGGAAATCCCTCAGAACTGGGTCTCTTGCTATATCAGCCAATCCAGGGCTCCTCTGACTCCCTCCAAAAACTATAACAAACAAATACAGCTTTCTCAGACGTGAAGGACATTTTAACTTCAACTCCAGTCCCAGAATAATCATGTGGAATCTAATTACCTTTGCAATGCTGTGGACATTTAAGCCATTAGCATTTCTCCTTTTCCAGATACCTTTGACCACCCACAGGCCATCATCTTTCTCCTTTCTTTATGTTTATGCCGCCCTTCTGTTTCCCTCCCTAACTCAGCCTCCAGTTATTCCTTGTCTTCACAAACCTTTTCAAGGACCTTTGGAAAGCATACTTCAACCTTAAGAAATGCTTCTTTCAATCCTCCAGTGCCTTTGCCATACTAAACCTTCCAATTCAGTTTCAAGAAGACAGGACCACTTCTCTTTGTAACGTTCAACACTTCTACATAAACACAAGGTTACTTTCTGGAGTACTTTGCCTGCATGTGTTTCATGTATTTAACAAGCATTAGTCATTACAACAACTACACAGCATTCTCAAGGTACATAACTGATTGCTATTTGTAAGTAATACATACTGGTGGCAATACTTCATGCCCTTAATAAGTTTTCCTCATTTTTATTATAATTTCATTATAATTGGCAAATGATACCTTAATTTTAATTATAACATTTCATATTCTTAATAATTTTCCTAGTGACTGCCTTTACTATAATTTTATTTAAATTAGACTATAGTAATCTTAATCTTAATAATTATAAAATATTGACTATATCATAATCTCAAAAATGAAAGGTTCAGGGCTGAAGAGATGGCTCAGAGGTTAGGAGGACTTGTTTTTCTTGCAGAAAACCTGGGTTCAACTCCCAGAACCCACATGGAGGCTCACAACCATCTTTAGCAATAAACTCCAAATTATAAAAAAGGAAGAAAAGAGTTCATTGATTTGTTTTTTTTTTAATCTAACCTGCAAGAGAAATAATTTATTTCATTTCTTAATTACACAGAGAAAGTAATTAAATCATAGATACTATGCAATGGCTATAAAATAGTACACTTACAATATAGAAACATACTAGCACAAATGGACTCAGCAGGTTGTATTTATATATTTATGCATTTATAGATACATATGAATAATAATTAAATAAAAAGAGACCATCAATTTAAGAAGACCCAAGGGAAGGGGAAATAGAAATGACTGAAGGGAGGTAAAAGAAGACAAAAATAATATAATTAGATTTAATTTTAAAAACTACAAATAAAAACATTTTTGAAAAAGGCTAGTGCAAGAAGGCTATAAATACAGCTATATTTGGCAAATTTTCAATAAAAAAAATCATAGTAAAAGGTCTCAAGAGTCAAGCTTTTAGATATAATCTGTCTCTAGCTGTCATGCTGGCACCAAATCATTTTCTTGGTGGTTAACAAGCAGGCTCGTCTGTGTGGGGCACTGATGCACAATAGTAGTTGTGTTCTACCTCACAAATGACTACACTTCATTGAGTTTATGCTCAGTAGAGCAGTGTTTGCAAACCACTTAGATTCCAGGATGGAAAGAGCTACAAAAATGAAACATCCAGCCCTTCCCTGAGGTTTGTTATTAGCCTCTGTTAGCCACAGGTTACAGGGCACTAAACACTATGTGCTGTGTATTTGCTCCTAACCACTAGGAAAAATAGCCTATAACATCTTACTCAAGACTTCTAGAAATTTTTAAGTTAATTTAAAAACTAGGCATTTAACTAGAACTTATTTTAATTCGTAAAACTAGTTCTTGTCAAAATATCTTAATTCTGGAGGTCAGTTCTTGGTTTCAACCTACACTATTCAATAGGACTCTTGTTAAAGTTTAATATTGCTAGGAGAAAAAGTGAAGAAGATAAAATAATCAATTTTATCTAAGACTAGTAAACTCCCATCTTTCAAATAAATTTCTTCCTGGATACTAATGCTTTAAAAAACATTCACATGCACACAAGAAACAATAATCTACACCTTATTGACCCAGACTTATATAAGATAATTCTTCTACAACACTGAAGAAAAATATGTAAGATAATTCTATAAACAATGCAGAAGTCAGAAAACCTCAGCCAGAGGTTTTCTAAGTAGTATATTAAGCTAGTATCCTAAAAACATACTCCCTAAACACTATGTATGAAGCCTTTATGTCCTGTTAAAAAGTGACTCCCCAAATGTTGGTGTCCTTGGCTGAGGTATATTATTTACATATATTTCAGAAGCACCTACTGGTAAATGTACTTTTGTATATTCGACATACCTTTTAGGTTTAAAATTTCTGCAGAGCACAAAAAAAGGTATTATAGTATCATTAACTTATGATAATTTATTTCATCTTCTCAGAATTTCAAGTTTTTAAAATGAATTTCTCAGAAATACTGCATTATGCTGTTACTTAGCATAGGAGAGAACATGCTTGGTAACAGAGTTGTGACTAAGAAGTCAACATGTACATCAAGGTAGAGCCATGGAGAACACATTCTAAGAAGGCACATAACACTCACTTTCTTCTAGGAAATGAAGGTCATTTCACCAAATCCAAATGTTCTCAAAAAGTAAATATAAGAATTCTGGGTACCAGATGTAGCAATGCATGCTTTTAATCCCAGCACATAGTTTCACTAAAGCAAATTATGCTTTCTATACTTAAAACACCAAACTCCAATAAAGCAGTATGAACATTTAGAGATTACCCTCATGTCTCATGATGATGGAGAAGCTGCAAACTAATACCAGAAGCAAAAGCAAAAATAAATAGTACATACACAAATCCTGTGTAAGGGTAAAATAGTGCCATGCACTTCTACACTTGCCCACAAACATGCTACTTCAGTAGACAACGGCATAAATAGCATTACTGCATCCTTAACATCTCTGTCAAAAAGAAAAAACAATCTGTCAAAGCATTTAAAAGGTAATTATTCTTCACTGGGTATCTTTAAAATAAAATAATTCCTAAAGAGTTTTGCTAACGTATATTTTCTATTATATAATTGTATTTAAAGCATAAATTATAGCCAGGCATATAGTGGTTCACACCTGTAATTTCAACTCTTGGTGGCTAAGGCAGAAGGGGACTACCATCAGTTTAAAGCTAGCCTGGGCTACAAGTGAGTTCCAGGCCAGGCTGGACCATAGAATTAGATCTGGTCTTTAAAAAAAAAAAAAAAAAAGACACAACCATAAATTATATCTGTTACAATAACAAATTGCCAAAAAAAAAAAAAAAAAAGTTTAGGAAAATATTCAAATGTCATTTATACGTAGACTTCCTTTGAAAACATTGTTATTATCATTAAACTATTATATTATTTCATACATAAAATCGTATCTACTTGTCTAGTACAGAATAAGGTTACAAATATTAGTCTAACATAATTATTTAATAAGCCAATACACAGTTCAAAAAGACAGATATGTTAATATATCTTTTGTTTCTTTCAACTTAAAATGAAATATCCCTTTAAATATTTCATTCAGTTTATTAATAGTAGTTATGAAACCAAATTACTGTATTTTTTCAACCAACAACAGTAGTATTTAGTAAAATAAGTTCAAGAGAGTTTTAAAGCATTTTCCAATTTCCACCAAACCACTGCAAATGTAGTCTGGAATGAATGAAACCAAAGGACTAGCACATATAAAATCTACATATCAGATAAAAATCAAAATAGCAAGCCAAACATGGTAGTCTATGCCTTTAATAACAGTACTTGGGAGGCAGAAGCAGGAAGACCTCTGAGTCAAAGGCCAGCCTGGTCCAGCCAGAGCTTCACATTGACACCCTGTCTCAACATAAACCAAAGAAATGAAATTAGCCAGCTGGAGAAATGCCCTGGCTGCTTTTCTAGAGAACACAGGTTTAACAGCCCCCACATAGCAGCTTTACAACTATCTGTAACTCCAGTCCCAGAGAATCGGATGCCCTCTTCTGGCTTCCTTAGGCACCACAGACATATGATGCCCAGACATATGTGCAAGCAAAATAAATTAAAAATTAATTTTTAAAATATATACACATTAAATAAAGAAAAAATAAAATTAAAATTGTGTTTATTTATGTATAATGTGTATCTGCATGCTTTTTTAAGAAAAGTATTCAAAATATTAAGATAATCATAGAATTTACATCATACCTGTGCTCCATAGATGTATTTATCCAACATCTTGCCACCTATTGTCTGCCCTCCTATATCCCAAACTTGAAGAGTAACATTCAAATTTCCTAGAATATAAAAATAATATAAAATAGGAATAAAAAAGACTAACAATCTAACAGCTAGGCGCAGTATCAGAGAGCACTAAGTAACAACAATAAACTCTGGTATCTATTTGCATTTTGTTCTGCAAGTTTACATGGTCAGATATTTAAAACTGAAAACACTGCTGTCAAACAAATTGTGCTGGGGAAACTTTACCTGATATTTCTATGGAAATACACACACACACACACACACACACAGGAAAAAAAAATATATATATATATTTTTTTTTCAGTGTCTGGCATGGTGATACATGTCTTTAATCCCAGCATTCCAGGAGAATCTCTATGAGTTGGTGACCAGCCTAATATAGAGTTCTAGGACAGCCAGGTCTACATGGTGAGTGAGACTCATCTCACAAAACAAAATTAAAATAAATAAAGTACTATATACATTAATTTACAAATGTAAGCCTTAACAAAGTGAAATACTTTCAGAGAATATAATATAAATATAATATATAAATATATGATATAAAACACACATTTACAGAGGAAAAGATACTTTCAATATAAAGATAAAAGTTTTTATACACCAACCTACCCAATCACTCATGAAAAGTGCTGTTAGTTCTAAACTCCACATGTTCTAAACACACTATAAAAATACACCCATAATTTCTATTCAAATGAAGTTTTAATCTGAATGTCAGCTATTATATATAAAGGTAAACATAATAATTAGGTTTTTGTATCTAATCTCTAAAATATAAATGTTAAAGACCTCTATTAAGAGCTCAAACAGTGATTACAGGCAGAGTATATTTCTAAACTCTATGATTCATATGATTCATGCCTGATGATTCAAGCATGATGATTGAAACAAATGATTATGTGTCCTTCAAAGCCTTCATAGTAATCTAATGTTATATCCCATACAAGCATTACTTTAAAAAGCTACCAAGAACACTAAAAGGCAATCTTTGAATTAATGTATGCATTTTACAAAATATTGACATGAACAAAAATTAAATAAACTTTACTCTCTTAACAATACAACTAATTATTAAGCTACAAAAGTCAAAGACCACCTACATTATATATTAGTTGAAAATTTCAAACTTTTTTCTCATAAAATTATATTATTTTCTCCAAAGTCTGTCCTGGTACCTTCAGAATGTTTCACAAATTGGAAAACTTTTTAAATAAAAATTTTTATAAAGTTAAGAAAATTAACTCTCTTCAAAAATAAAACAGATTTTAAACCATGAATTTTTAAATAAATGTAAAACACTATAATCTGAGAACGTCTGTTCCACCATTTAACTATACTTCTGAAAAGAAAGCACAACAGTGAATTAATCACCAAAGTTTTACACTTCAGCTTCGTTTCTGTGGACTTGTGTTACAAGATTTCCATTATTTAGATGTAGATCTGTCCTATCTGATACAGTGCAGAGACGTCTAGGAAGGACACCCATTAGCACTAATGAAAGCTACCGGAGTTTATCGCCGTGGTCATTGCATACATGCAGCTCCAGCGCTGAGTCGTGACCAAGATGTTCTTAAAGCTCTATTAATTTGAAACCCAAATATCACAGACTATTAGCCAACAGATTGTATAAATCCGATTTCTTAAAATTCTAATGTTTATGAAAACCAAAGCTAACCTCGTCTTTTCTGATGCCATCTCAAATCAGGTGGGAACAAAGCTAACTGTCACTAGACAGGTATGGATGAGGTTTGGAAGCCTGCAGTCCACAGGCAGCAGTCTATTCATTTCACTTGCAAAACTGAAGTCCTCAGTTTACAGCAAAAGACAGCGCTCCCCGATAGTAAAGCACACAGAGTAAAATTTCAGGCCACACATTAATAATTACTAAGTATTTAATCCCATTTCCTCAAGGCCCAATAATCTCTACTGCTTAAGCTAGCATCCAGATATGACGCTCTTTCCCCTCTCCCTCTTCTTTTTCATTCTGATATCCAGGGCTTCTCTGAATTACACATTATAAATAGTTCTGCTATAACGTCAGGAACACACTTAACTGTGTGCTTCCAAATGCTGGTGAGTCACTTAAGCAGCCAGCTCAGATACTCAATTCTCATCTAGAAGATTCACATTTGTGCAAGAAGGTAATTTTAAAATTTTTATCTTTATGAATAAATACTTTTTGTTATTTGCTTACATTTTATTTTCTTAAGATATAGATTCCAATCACTAAGAAGTAAAATTTCCATAGAATTATTATTAGCACATAACTTTAATTATAAAAACCTAGCTAGAAAAATTACTATGGTTTTTCCCTTCAATGAGTAATATTATCATCATAGTTATTTCATATTCTTAGAAAAATTCTTTAACATCTACATTTTAATTTTAGACTTACTAGTACACAAAGTAAAAAATAAAATGGGTACTTTCTACCTGAGGACCAAAAATAACATAAAACTATGATTCAAATATATTTACATTTAAGTTTTTGCCGGCACATCATGCAATAGCTATTACATTTTTAATATGGTATAGCTATAAAGCTATACAAAGATGCTCAGTTTATCAATGTAATATATTCTAAAATCAAAATTTTAACAAGTAAAAAACATTAAAGAATCTGTCAGCATTCTAATCTCAAATGCAAACTGCTATAAAATCCCTGTCCTCTGTAAGAAATGACATATGACTAGGGAAAAAGATTAAATGAAGTAGCATTTATATTAAAAGATAAAATATAAGTCAGCTGCATTTGTCATGAGTCACAGCCACCACAGGGATTCAACAGTGACCCTGTATAAGTACACTTGGTGCTTTGGTTAACCTTACTTAAAGTGCTACATAGTCATGATGGAACTCAAAAACACAGGACTGCCCACTTCTTGTGCCAAAGACTCAGAAATCCTTTTCACAGTAGAACGAGCGCTGTTTACTGGACTGTACCACAGGCTTCCTGAAGGTATTTTGACTAAGGCTCTTAAGAAGCTCTATCAGCAGAATCTCTGACTAACAGATACACTATTTTAAGCAGCAAAATCTGCACAGTGGTTGCATCCAGACTATACAGCATACCAGATTGTGAAATATTCTAAAATGGATAAGTATCACAAAGAAATGACCTTGAAAGGATGCATGAGGAAAATGTGAATAAATAGACAGGGAGTTTACAACTCTTAACAATGTGACTAAACTCATAACAAATATTAAATTCACATGCTATGTTATATTACTATAAATTCAAAGAATGTTTCCTGTAACATTAAGTTAACAAATGATACAAACACTAATCATCATACCTTAGACATTACAATAACTTGAAACTGGAGTCAGAGTATGCAGAGTATATACTTAATAAAATATAATTTTATATTAAATCAAAATATACTAAAATAATTTTTAACTGAAATATCTGTGATGATTTTCAACCATTTAAGTAACTAAAATTATCTTCTAAAAATGATTTTTCTCTGGAATTCTACTCATCAAACTTCATTAGGAAAATTAAAACATACATTCATTAAAAGCCTACATTTCCTAAAGCCATTTTTAATCTAAAATCTTTCTAAATCTAAACATGTTATAAATTTGTATTTCAAAAATATCAACAATATTTTACAAAGTAAGTCACAATTTTTGGACTCATAATATTGTGCAACAGTTCTGAAATCACCAGAAATATCATATATACAAAATATACACAACTATCTTTTGTTTATAATATTAATATTTGGGTAGATTTTTGTTCCTTTATTTCTGCCTTTCAACTAAAGATTAGAAAATTAAAACAAAACTAAAAGGTAATTTGGTGCTTTGACTAATTAATCATCCCAGGAAAATACTAATAACAAAACACCATACTGAGGATCTGTGTATCAAACAATTAGACTCACTACGTCAGGCTTGCGCAATTGTGGTTTCAGGATGCATGTTGTAGAAGCTGTGCATGTATCTAGTCTATTAGCAACTGCTCGCTCACTATGAGCAAGTAAAATGATATTTCAATCTTGAATACAGGAAAAGACAATATAAATGAAATAATGAACAAACTATACATATGCTTCTCATTAAACCTCTGAACAATAAAAAAAACTAGAATTTAGATTTTTTTTTCTCATACTGTATCACCTAACCTATTTTGGATTGAGATCTAATCATAAACCACCAAAAATATAACAGGAGATAGTAGTGATGAGATATAAACAATATCTCCAATTGCCAAAAGCTTTCCTTAACTGCTCTATAATTTTCATAGAAAGTTACCAATAGGTGGGGCATTTGAGAGGGGAACTAATTCCAATACTACTGAAACTTATTCACATTTCAGTATAGAAATCGTATATTACAATTGCAACCACTTAATTCAAGATGAGACAGTGATGGTTTTTAAAAAATCAACCTAGATAACTACTTTTAATAAGGCATTTGAAACATGTCATTTAAACACTGAAATTAAATGGATACAATTTAAAGCTCTAATTGTTCAGAAACTAACCTGAAACATAGACCACTCTCTTTGTGTTATTATTTCCCTGTATTTCCCACAAAATGTGCTGCAACTGGCATCTAAATAGTGTCTTTGCATGGTGAACTGAAACATCGTGAATGCTCAAACTGTACTTTTATGAGTGCCTAGGGACCCTAAATTTTAGTGGTCTATTAAATGCCAGCAATTTCATGCTGCCTTGCATAAAACAGCATTCACATATTAGAGCACAGAAGTTCCACAGCTACATTATACTGCTGCTCCAACTTCCAAACAAATAGCTGAACAGAATCGAATCCAAATAATATTTTTAAATCCTTCTCAATACTTTTACATTTAATTAATACAATAGCAGTCAACAAATGTATAGCATTTGATTTTTTTTCTGGAATTTTATAAGCAACAATTGTTTATTCTCAAAAAAGAAAAGTGCAGAGTTGCTAGTAACAGCAATAGAATAGGGAAATGTATAAACTTTTTCTTACCCCAGTGGACAGAATACTCTCATACTAGTTGCTAATCATAGCTAATTCCTGTACATATTTCTGTGCGAGTTATGTAACCTCACACAGGTAAGGTTCTATAGTCTCTTACCTAGGTTGACCTGTGAATGAGACTTACACAATCTCGGATGTTTTATAGTCTCTCACCTGGTAAGGTAATCCTTCTCAAAAAGAAATCCAGTCCTATAGTCTGCTTGTACTGTTTCCCAAATGTCTCTTGAGCAAAACACGTAGCTAAGGAGGTCTAAAAAATGGATAAACAGAATAGCAAAATTAATTTCTTTGTTTAAAAATATATAAACATAAGCACATCTCTAAACTTATTAAGTAACCCTAACATATATAGTTTAATTAATCCAACAAACAGCCTTTAACAGTTCTAATTAGTCACAAAGGTAGAGACTCACCCTCCCCAGGAATACTGTACTTGTCTATAACCAGCAGTGGAAACAGTAGCCTAATCTAATCAGCTAAAGTTCATTAGGTATTCTGATTTTCAAGCTATTTCTCCTTGATAGAAATAAGACTCTGAGAATTATAAAAGGGAACTAAAGCAACAAATATGATTAAGATCTCAATTTTACATAGTACTTCAATAAAATTTCCAGAGAACTCTTTTAAGTTTCCTTCTAAGGTTACATGCTCTGAGGATAGCTGTACTATTAGCTAATAATAAGAAAACTGATTAAGGAAGAGAAAGTTACTTGTAGAATTTTTTTGGTTTTTCTACAAGAAACATTCTGTTCATTTTTCTCTATACTTAAGACACCAAAAATAATTATACAGAATTGTCATGATAATGTGTACCATTTAAAGAAAAGGGCTAGTATTCTGAAATTAGAAGAAAACAGGCAAAATAACTATTATTTATCTGAAGACAATGCTAACAAGTCACAAGATACTATAAGCAACATATATTCATGCATGTTTTAAATAAAAGCTCCAAATTTCACTAAAGGACTCCAGGGCTTTCCTTTAGTCATTTCTTATAAAAGCAAAATATACTCCTGGTAACAACTGAAATGATTCTAAACTCAGAATGAAGAATTTCAAATGCACTGGTTTTACTTGAAAGCCTATCGAAAGGTAGAGGAAGGAAGCCTCAGGACAAGCTGTCAGGTTTTTTGTTTGTTTTTTTGATTTCTCTCTTTTCTTTTTCTTTAGTCTTGTTTTAATTTTAAAAGTCAGCTCTTTAAAAATCTAGGATAAATAGTTAATTATGATATTAGAACAGAAGTTCTAAGGAACCCTTGGCCATATTTCAAGTCCTTTTAGCAAGGTGAGCTACATTTCATTTACACAAGGGTCATATTTTTCCCACAAAGGACAATTTGCACACTCTTAACTCCAAACTCTTTAATATTCCAATAATGTGATTATAATAAATGTCTAAGATTTTTGCATCAAGTATTCATTGAGCACTCCCATATGAAAGATGGTCAACCAAACACTTAGAAATAAACTCACTGCATGGATTATATCATTGAAGCTCGCAACAGTATCAAAATGAGAAATCAGAACAGAAGATGGAGCTATGTGTTTTTTAAAGATCTTTGGGGTTTTGGTCAGTTTTAATTGCTCCATTGAGTCTGGCAAACATAAAGCACCAAAGTATCTGCAAAGAGGCTCAGTGGTCTAGAGAAAAATAGCATTACTTACAGTACTGCAAGTATTCTAAATGTTTCACATATGAATGGTTGAAATATTTAAAAGTCAAAAAAATAAGGCACATGTACAGCCTATTGTTAGTTGGGATATTTTTCACTTTCATTTAAGATTCTCTAATGTATTGTTTTTATATTCAGTAATATTCAGAAATGGATAAAAGTGTGAGTGGGAAAGCACAAAGCCAAGGAAGAAAAACAGCAAAACAAATTTTATTTGGAAAATGCAATAATGAAACCTAATAAAATACATATATATACATATATATACATATATATACATATATATATGTATATATATGTA